TGGTGCAGGATGATGTTTATGAGCGGGTGGAGCTGAAGTTTCTGCCGACACGAGAACGTGTTGGATCAATAAAAGAAAGAGAGAGACGAGCTGTGATGTGAGAGGATCGACGGGTTAATCCAAGGCAGTCGATGGAGGACCAGAGAGAAAAGTCAACGTGTTACGAGGAGGACGCTGCCAAAACAACAGTGTACGAAGACATCGTCAGTGTCGATGTTGAGGAAGCATCTCAGCCTGTGAGCTGGAGTTAAAGGTCAAAGGTCAGCTGATCAACTTAATTTCAGAGTTTTTTTCCAGCTGCATCAAGCTGAGGGCAGCACGACTGTGACTGGACAACACTGTGGCACAAACCCATCCACAGGATATAAATATGTAAGGAAGACTGGAAATAATCTGATAATCTAGCTTGTTAACTTTTTATCATGAGTTTAACTTCAGTCTAATCTGGATGTGAATCATTCAGGAGGTCTGAAATGAAGCGTCAAACCCAAAAGCCTGAATAAAACCCTGAATTATTCCATAAAGTGTCTTCTTCATGAACAAAATGCATTTCAATGAAGGCAGAAAGAAAATCTGAACTTTTAGAGCCACGAGTCACAAAGTGCAGCCCCCTGGTGGGCTTTAAAGGTACTGCACAAGGGTCTACATAGGTCATTTCCAATAAATTCAACTTTTTCTTTATAAATTCAATTAACTATTTAATTAGATTCAGATACCATAATCCTGTAGAATAAATCTTAAACATTTAGATTTGAACAAATGAAACAAGGCTATGGATTTAAAATCCCTTTTTTATTACTATTCTTCCTTTTTCTGACCTGTTTTTGATACTGAACTACTCTTATATCTTTTCATTAGCTGAAAAGAACTTAAATCAACAGAAGATCTGAATAAATCACGTAAACAGGAAGGAAATACTTGATTTTTATGCTTCTGTGATAATCAGAGTTCTGACTAAAGGTTTGGGAGAGATCCAGGCATGAACTGTAAACTCTCAAACTCTGAATGTTTCTGAGATTCATCCAAACGCTCAAACTATCCAGCTGCACGTACTGCAGGCTCCAGATGTGGCTACAAAGACCTGCTGCTTGAGCAACAGCTGGAGTGATGGATGAACACTACAGCGTCGACGCACAGAGAGCTCAGAGTGAGGAAGGACCACAACGCGTCTGTTGTGGTGCGCAGGGTGAAGGCTCGGTGAGGGGGAAGCTGTGGTGAATGGGTCGGGGTGCAGGGGTTGGGGGTAAAAGGCACGGGGGTCACATACGTGCTGCATTCACCGCTGCAGAATGGCGTATACCTCTGTATACAAGGACTGGACAGCCTTCTGGCCTGACGGATCTGAAAACAACAGTTTACAGCACAACTCAGTTACAGCGCGGAAGAGAGCTCCTATTCAGGCGAAGCCACACATCCACCCATCCA